TCCGGAGATAAATTTCGCGATCCACGCTCCCGTCATTTTGTCGACGCCGTCAGACAGACTTGATATCTAATACAATAGATCTCTAGAACACTCGCGATCGAGCCAATCTGATGACGTTTAGAGATTTTCAATCTTTTTATATATATATATATATATATTTCCGATAGAATTCAAAAAATACAACCGTAACTACATTCAAACCGAACAAAAAGACAACAAGATACTTATTCGTCGTTACTTTCGAAAGCGATCTGTCGAGTTTTGAATGTTTGATTCGTTTCACACGGCCAGCGGTTACCTTTCTCGAAGGATCGTGAGCAGAGTGCGGATGTTAATGCAGAAAGTATTGAAAGAAGTCTTAAATTGCATGAAAGACGATAAGTTCTCCGCTAGCGATTGAAAAGAAATGGTTTTCTAGATAAAATTATGTGACCTACCTATGTACCTACTAATGAATAAATACTATCTATTAACAGCGAAGAATATGTAATAAAATAACACTGAATATAAATTGTTTTAAAAAAGGAAGAATCGAATGTTAAGGTGATTCGAAAGTAAGTGTAACAATTTAATATACCTCGTAACAATATAATTAAGTGAGTATAAAGTTTCTTATCTTATTGTGACCCGTGTATTAAATTGTATTGTAAATGCATAAAATCCGCAGTCCATTCACTAAATATATAATGAAGAATGTTGATATAGAAATATTTATTTTTGATATTGAAATGCGTTGCTTTGTACTTTAATACAGTGGCCGCTAATTTCGATTCTTTTTATCAAGAGCTTTCCTGCTTAACGTTACATCAATGATGATATTTTTTTGTCAAATCAAAGGCCTTCAAAAATGAAAGATGAGTTACACAGGTTATAGAAGTTTTAAATTTAACATGACACTCCATTGCATCGAATATTATATTTCCAGGACAAAATCGTTAAATTATCGTTTAATTATAATAGAATTCAGTTTCAACAATTTCTGCTTAAAATTTCTCGTTAAAATCAACAAATCGTAGTTTCGCTATAAACAAACGATGCGATAGTCAATGTATTAAAGTCTCCCAGAAGCGACGAGCAAACACCGCTAAGACTCTTCATGCTGAAGAAAATGTTTTGAGCATTGAAATCGTGGAACCGCTGTCCAATTACATATCTACGACGATCGTGGTAATCAATAAACATCTGATAGAGCAACAACCAAATCGAGGAAATTCCTTTTGATTAATACAAGCAATCAGAGGAGTACCCTAAGGTCCGCGGGCAAGGTCTACGAACGAAACTGATAAACGTCGGGATACACGTTCCTTGAATGCCCACGAAAACGAACAGTCGTTAATCGACGGTGCATAATCAACGTGTACACCCCACGAGTCGAACGATAAATCAACGATTCCTTGCGCGATTCTAACGTGTACAAGCTCACCGCGAAACTATAAGTACACAATTAGACCAATCTCGGGTCGAGTCAAGGCTAGAGAGAATCGGCAACGGACAAAGTCTGACCGTAGACATTTTCAGTGTTCGTTGATCCGCGTCGAGTCGCGTGGTCGTGTTGACCGTGTCAACGGGTCCTCGATTCGGGGGCAGAACAATCATCTCTCCTCCGCTGTCATCGATGATTTCCTATATGCGCGAAACAACCTCTGTTCTCCAGTTGTTTCGCTCACAGACTACACGCAGTGGTAGACCAAGACCTCTCCAGTAACCTCCTCCGAATCACACTTCGCATTTCCACACCCATCGATCAGATCAGCAAAAACGTACCATCGTTAAACTTCGGTAAAAAATCGTTCAAGCGGATTACGGTGCGTCTGTTCAGCGTTCATTCTTGCTCAACGCTGATGTCGACCGTTCGGACCCTGGACGAGTCTGTCGGTAGCAGCTGAAGGCGTTCCGGCTCTACGTCCAGCATGATGATGCACATGAAGCTCTTCCCGGACGCCTGGTCGCGTGGGTAGATGGTGACCGGCGCGAACTTGTCTACAGTCCCGTCCACGTATGCCCGCAGCTTCCTGTACACCTGCGGGAAATGTCTCCTGAGCGATACACCCCTAAGCTTCAGCTGCCTCTGTATATTCGTGAAACTGATCTCCCTGATCCTCTTCGGCGTGTTCTGGCCGTCGCTGCCCGGCAAGGACGTCAAGACCAGCATCTCCGGGGACTCCATCTCCCTGGTAATGTTGCACGGTGACGCAGATTGCTGCCTGCCCTGCGGCGAGGCCGACGACGACGAGGTGTGGTGCCTGCTGGCCGAGTCCAGGTGGATCTTTGCGCACCTGGACACCAATTGACGCTCCCATTTCACAGCACCGCTGGTCGGCACCTCGCTAACCACGCACACCGCCACGTAGAGCACCAGCCTGGTGTCCGGGTTGTATGACTTGCATAGTCTAATTACCTCGGCGTACAGGAGCTCGCCCATCTCGCTGACCAGTAGGTCCGACCATCTAATGTAGGTTGGCTTGCCTAGCTCTGTGAAGCCGTTAGCGACGAATTTCTCGGCGGCCTCTGGGCTAGAGAAGAAACACTTGACAGCGCCTCGGCCGTGGAACGCGTAGCCGCGTTTCGCCAGCGCGGAGATGTGCTTCAGCGTGATCGGATCTTCTTTCGCGGAGGACAACACCTGCTTGCAGAGGCTGCCGGCCCTCGAATGCAGACAGGTGCGCCGATGCCGCTGCCAGTGCGCCTTCCTGCATTCCCTCGAGCAGTACAGGCAGGTGCAATTGTGACAGCTCTTGTAGGTCTTTCTCGCCTCGGCCAAGGTTGCTGTGTTGCTGCACTTGTTGTTTCGGCAACGGACCATCTTCTCCCCAGCGCTGCCTGCAACTAGCCCGTTCGCCTCCTGGTTGCCGTCGAACGAGATCTGTCGGTGACGCAACGGACCGCCGCCCCTCGTAGACATCTTCGAGGGGATCGTGTCGCTGCCCTCGCTCTTCCGTCTGACCAGCTCACCTACGTAATACGAGGCGCGTTCCTCCGTGGCGCCCTGCACGTCCATCACGCTCCTAGCGGACTCTGCGACATATTCGGCGATTTTTGTCGGATCGTCAAACAGTATCAGCGGTTCAGCGTCCCGTGGACGTGTGCTCTCGGTCTTCGTACCGGGGTTTTAACGCTTCATCGAGAAATCGAAAAATTTGTTGGCTGCTCCCGCGATTGTTGTTTAGGGTGCGAACGTATGGTACAAGGAGGCGATTCCTTATGTGAGAATGTATGAAGTATATGAGATGAATGCTCTTTTCGATTTTATTTGGTTTCTTTTGGGCGGAGAAATTTTATTTGACGCATTCGATTTATTCTTGCACAAGGAATCATTTGTTACCTGTTGTACTGTTCTTTCAGGTGCACCCTTTGTATTGAGATTGGCTGCTCGAGGTACCTGGTTATAAGTATGATCGAGCAGAATTTATAGTGTACAATAATTTTTACTATTCCAAAGATTATTCAGTATTATAATAAAAATTCCTGCAATATTTTATTTGCATTTTATAATAAACCTTATCTGATTAAGAAAATGAAAAGTTCATTTAACAATTAGATTCTGTAAATGATACTTCTTTCTGTTCGAGATATAAGTTATTGAAGTTACATACCTGGCTAGTTTTCTAACTAAGTCAATTTTAAAGTGTGATTTACATATTTACGAGATAATTATAATGAATATTTCATTTGAATCAATTTCTGCTTCTTACTGTATATTTTATGTCCTCATTACCGCACTACAGTTGCAACTCTCTTTTAATCTTAATGAATATTACATTAAGTTAACAAGTACAGTACATTAATTATATTTATTAACTTTAACGATTTAGCAAAATATGTAGCTTCATCTTAGTTTCAGAAAAATTAGGTATACTATATTTGCATTTTATACAAACTCCAGAACTTTTTGCATTCGATATAAAAACTGATACAATTCAATCATTCAATCGGGTAATAATTCAACTGATTCGTCAATAATTCACGTCGCATTGAAGTAACAGAGCAGCCAAACGCAATAGAGCAAATATTTCATCGATGATTTCCGCGAGCCAATTCCAATTTTCCGCGAACGATACCGGTACGATGGACCGTGCAAAAGCAGAAATGGAACGTGACGATATAAGCGATGTCGTGTGTGTATGGAATGAAAATGATTACCGTAGACAGCCTCCGTCGACGGCAGTGTTAGTAACTCCGTTAAACAACAACGACTCAATTTCTACCCAAGAGTGGTCGTGAATCGGTTAATGTGCGGTGAAACGGAAACGGATTTCCTTCGTTCCATTCGTAAAATCACCCCACCTGAGTGGCTTCAAGCTC